GATGTAATATCCAAAGAAATAGCTTCAAAGAAGCTTGACAGATGCAATCATCTTCAATTTTTTTAGGATATTCTACAAATTTTTTTTTATCCATCGATCGCATCAATTTTTCATAGTCTTGTATTATTTTATGTTACTGCGAGATAACTTCTTATATGTTTTTAAATATCCAATAAATATTGTGACAACATTGATGCTATCGATATTACTGTTTGATTATTTTTCGATGTTATCGGCACAACATAGTCTCATAGTTTCGGTCACTGTTATAAATAAGCAAAACATCGGTTTTCGATCGATTACGGGATGCGCCGCGACATTTTCCGATGGATATTCGTGTGCGCATCTTAAAAGAAAGACCTTAAAAATCCATTTTGCACGGGCCATTAGGCACACATGTTAGCCAAACATCTCCTGTTCCAAAGCAAACTACGTCTCGGAGGTTTTTCACGAAAAGTCGTCGAATTTCTCCAGTTCGTAGGGCACAGATCCGCTTAGTGAAGAAACTACGAGAGATGGAATGCGGAAATATTGAGAAAAGTAAAGATGTATGTATGCGCCATTCACGATAATGTCACTGTTATGTTATCGAGTAGTGGCAGAAGGACCTAGGTCTTTATGAACTTGTAACTGGAAACAAGAAATGGTATAAAATAGACAGAAGGGTTTCAAATATTTGCTTAGGAAATGTCAAGAATTAGTGATGACATGTTGGCCTGTGTGAAATATCGATTCTCGCTTGGATAAGTATCGGTGTATTTGAAGAAGAAAGTCAAATATTTGTTTCTCATGAAATAAATATTAGAAAGTAGGATGTAACTTTCTCGCTACCGGAGACAAGGATATATAACGATACTCAAATCTATAAATTAAAACTGCCAAATGTAATAATGAAATATGGTTAAAAATTGTGCGAGATATAACTTTTATATATATATATATATATATATATATATATATATATATCGCATATATATAAAGTTTCGATTAAAATCTTACCTATAATATCCGTGGAGAAAGCAATCCTAGTCGTGAACAGGTATAGCTAGGATAAACGAGCTCTCCTCCCTCTTTCTTTTATGTAGCTACTGGCACCATAGTCGCTTCCCTCCGCGCGCTATAACGATCCGCCCTGCAGGAATATCTCTATCCACCTGTCTACATCCATATCCTACAGACAAAATTGTCTTCCGAAGTGGCTTACAAATATATTTCAATAGAAACGTAATATTCCAGAGTCACTTGTATTGGCTCTTCCTGAATCGTTTCTGGGCTTGCTCGCCCTCTTTTTCTTCTCAAAGGGATTTGTTACTACTCCCATGGACATGTACGTATCATACATTCGTCATGTCTAAGCGGCAAAGTAATATCGTCCCTACTTCTACGAGATCTCGTAAAGCCGACGATACGAAGTATCGCAGACAACGCGAACGGGTACGTCGTGTTAAAAAATGTGCGCGTTTCTTTCTCGTACAGAAAATACTTCCGAACAAACGCGAGTCTTACAATCGTGCTGCACGATATTTCGATTTCAATGGAAATTGGGTTTTTGCCAGACTTCATAAGTTCCGGAAATAAGAACAGATTTGTTTCGAAGGGTAAATAAGTGCGCTTTCATTTTATACGAAATGAATCCTTTTTGATTTTGAATTTTTAAAATTTCTTTTAATTCTTTACACTGTACACTGAGAGAAAACAAAATACTTCTGGCAACTATATTTATGACATTATGAAATTATGAAATTTAAATTTAAATACCTGCAACTAGTTTTTTAAAATAATAAATACAAAAGTAGTATTGAATAGAATAAAAATATAGTCACGATAACAATAGACGTGAATTATTAATTGATAGTGAAATAGCGACTCATCTATAATTAAATTAATGTACATTCTATCTTCTCGAATATACAATTTACAATTTATATTGTAAGAGCTAGTAAATTTACTATTCACACATTATACAATATAAATTATACAATATATATTCAATACTTATACTTTATACTTAATTGTCTACTTATTATAGACAAAAAATACGTACAATATACATGATTATTTTAAATTTATATAAATTTATATAAATTTATCGTATAAATTTAAATATAAATTTAATTGTTTGTAAAACGCAATGCGCTCGTTGTTTGAGGTATTGTTTACAAGGATAACATTGTACATATTATCCATAGGATTATTATGTTTGTCCGTTGAATTTCTTTGGAGGATGTAGCATATGCTTCGTTCCTTTATTTCTCCGTTTTACACCGCGACGTATTTCGAGAGCAGACGTTTCGGAGGGTCGCGACAGTCCCGAACTTTTGTCAATATTGATCCCCCTCCCTTTGCACGCAAGGGACATACGCGTTGGGCTGACGTATGTCTTCGATTTTAGAAGCTTTAATGCGTTTTGCAAACAGACAGCCATTCGACAACTACTCTCGATGCATTCCATATGACTAATCGTGTTTTAAATCGCGTTACTTGCGAGTCACAAGTGCTCAATTTACAAGTACAACATTTGAAGTCTAACCGTGTTGAATATTCAGTCTTGTTGACAGATCCAGTCATACGCTTTACTTTGGAAAGCAAAATAGAGTTAGTTAATCTCTGTTGTAATACGTCGCAGCTGCACGTTCATGAGCATAATATTATTAGTCAGTCGATCATTGTACGTCGTACATTGTATAAATTACGTTTCTATAAAGTACAGAAGAACTTAAATGGATTTTTCGTCGTCTCGCTCGTCTCGGCGTTGCTTTCAACCAATTGCGATTCCGAGTTATCCGGAGAGCTCGCATATACGACGAGACGCAAGAAAAAGATTTCAGCCTGCCTAGCTCCCATTTATCGGCGCGCTACTTTGCTTCAATTAATATGCGCTAACAACGTTAATTAATGCGGCATAGCCGCGACGGACACGGCCGACGAGGACGTGAGCTTGAAGGGACAAGGAATTCTCTTCTCTTTTGCGTCTATCCATCAAGAGCGATCGTGCCGCTCGCATCGCATTCAAACCGGGTTGACGCCACCCCTGCCACCTTAACTTCGACATCAGAGGCTTCTGGGGCGATATTATCTGTAGGAAAGTGCTCGAGAATATTATACGTGCGTAGTGTACACACCCTATCGAGGCCAGCTACTTTAACCGTACTCGACGTTGGATGATTGAGAGGAGAGGAGTGAGACGGGATGAAGAGGGTAGGTGGAAGCATCCATCGTAGACGGTAGCGACTACTGCTAATCGAATTATCGATCCTTGTCCGCGTTCTCGAAGCGAATATTAGATTTTCCGCGAATTTTAATGTACAATGAGGACCAATGGCAGGCTCTTTTCTTCGTTTATTGGAGAATATCTACGTATCAGCAGACGGAAAGATGTACCGAAATAAATATGTAGCACAGAAACATTGTGTTAATAATACATAATACTATTAGATATAAGATTTTGCTAAATGACTTAAAAAATCTTTCTCTATATTCTCTAAATCTTCTATCTATATTGTGCTTATTATTCGCTATTTATTTATTGAAATATTTACACGTATAGCTTTTATCTGTTTTTCTCTTACAAAACGATTAAAAAAGAATATAGCTATAAAAGCACGTTATATATTCACAGAATTTTTAGCATTGCTAAAAATTTTTAAAATGTTTATTAATTTACGTACATATATATGATCAAAATGTAAATTTTGTATTTGTATATAAACTTCTAAATTTATTCGATTCTAAAATCTCGAAGTTGTTTTATTATAGCCACTTCCGGTCGTAATTTATTCCTCTATCGCATCGCTCAGCAGACATTTATTGCTATGCGAGTGATTTCTTTCGTCTGCATATCTGAGATCTAATTTTAAAAGCTTCATAGCGGCACCATCGGAGCATTTCTCTCTTCCACGGCAGACTCCGGCCGTATTCTATTTTCAGGTGTCCGCAGGTAGAGATGAATCGTAAGAATGCACTAGGGAGGCACTTCCGCGGTAAAAACATGTACATGGGACATCGCGTAAGCGTGTTCGAGACATGTTTCCTCACACAGGAACTGCGTGCGGTCGGGCAGTAGAAAGAGGAGACGGAGGGGTTGAGAAGGAAAGCACAAGAACCTCGGGAAATGTCAGAGAAAAATTCCAATATGCCTCGAAATTCTGGCGGCCGTGCATGGAATGCATTTGAGCCCCTTGATTGTGCTTCGGTAACATATTTTTCTCGTATTTCCGATATTGCACCAGCGAGTTTCTTCGCTTTATAACTGCGAGCGCCGCTTTCTTTGGTCCACGCGAGGTGCACCATGTGCGCCCACAAAGAATACTTTTTCTTCGTATTTATATAATAATAATAGAAGAGTTTCCGCTATTTCCGCTGTTTATTTATATTACGACTGAGCGCGAGACATTCTTGCTTCATTTGCATACTACGCTTGTATCGTTTGTCTTTAATGAACGCTCGCTTACCTACTATAAAATCTATCATAGCCAGTCATTTACATATATAAATCATAGCTTATGTAGGAATTAAAAAATTAGACCAATGTTACGAAAAATTTCTATTAATATCGCACTAATTATTAATATTATTTATACATGAATAATATCAATAATATTTATAGATAAGTAATATAAGTAATTAAAATGAATTTTTTTTTCTGTAGATATTTGTATATAGATTTTTACTCATGACGTTATCTTTTGTTACAGGTGATGCCTCTTCCCCGTATCAATTTCTTGGCCTTTTCATCTACATAGCACTCGAGCGAATCTCTGAAGTTAATAATGTCCATATAAAAATTCCAATCGCACCGATTACCATTTATTCGCGAGCTAACGGTTCATTGGTGCACTTGTCTCGTCTAGCGCATAACTCCATCGTACATTTATCGCCCAACCAGTCATTGGTGAAAGCTCGTCGAACTGAAATTGATCTGACGCGTAATATCACCAGCACTATTCAAAGCAGTAAATGGTTGTCGACATACCGCGAGATATCGATAGAAAATCGTTTGACAGCACGAATCACGTACCCGTTCGGGTACGATAGATCCTTGGCCGAAGACCAGCATCAAGATAAAGTCAGTGGGAGCTGTACCCAAGGATGCGCAGGAACGGGTGGTGCTGTTAGTGGTGGATAACAACTCGTTGGAGGGACCAGCGAGCGGCGAGGAAGGGGGCCACGTAAACGGCCCCCGAAAGGGCCCGCTGGATGGTCTAGCCTGCGAGCAACCATCGAGACCTAGCCGGCAAGAGGGCGAGTACATCCGGTCGATCGAAACGCAGGGGCCCGGTACTGTCTTTGGTCCAGATCTGGCCGCAGTGGACACCGTGCTGGGGTCCACCGGTGAACGTATAGAACTTGATGAGAGGACCGGGAACAAAATCAAGCGGTCACAAAGCCCCATAGTGTCGGCAGTCGACGATCACGATTCGATCTTGGTACATTGCAAACGTCATCCGGAGAGATTCAACGGCGCAGCCTTGGAGCTACGATCGACCGGCGACAGTTCCGACGCGCGCTCAAAGCGTTCGACAAAGACGTTGGACAACGACAACGACAACGACAACGACAACGACGACGAGCAACCGGCGAGAAGAACTTGTGCGGCGCATCGACACAGAGTGTCCTGTCACGTAGCGCGAGCCCACACGGAGCCGTCCTGCCGAAGAGGCGCGAACCGAAGCCGACCCTGTCGCGTTCATGATCGCCGGCGGGACTGCTCGAGAGGGAAGTCGACGGAGAGACCGGAACACCGGCATCTGAGACTCCACGATCCGGAGGACGCCATCGTACGGCTAGAGCAAGATCCGATACTTCGCCCGGTGCGCATTCTTGGTTGTCCTCCCGCGGAGGGTCAGGAGATATCCTCCTACCTGGAGCCGGCCGGACCTAGTTACGTTTACACGGGTGTAGGCGTGGGCCAGTTCGGCGGTGAACCGCACTGCTTCGCTCTGCACAATCCGGACAATATTCTGCCCAAGAGCCGCGCCGGCAGCATCGCCAGACTCCTCGACGGGCCAAATCGCGCCGTGAAGGACATCAATCGCAAGGTCCTGGCGATGGCGCGTGCCATGACGCCCGCCTGGTCGCTGCGCCTGCTCGGCGTCAGCTGCGGTTCCGTGGTTTGCGCCTGGGGACTTTTGCTGATATTATCCGTGCTTGGTGGCGGTGCCTCGCATGGCACCGGCATCGGTAGCTTCGGTCTCGGTAGTATGACGGGTACGATGGACGATTTGAACGGCGTTAGGTGTCCTTGGGCGTGCACGTGCGGCGGACAGGAGGTCGATTGCTCTCATCGCGGACTCACGCAGATCCCTGGCGACCTGGCGAGCTTGCTCATCGCGGAAAAACTGTGAGTAGCTGAATACCGATTTTGCTTTTGGGCATACAACGCGCTTTAAAAGCGCGTTGCGTGCTACATTATTGAAAGAGGAAAGTTCACTATATTTTACTATATAATAGCATTTAAACACGCGTTTGGTGGCGAGTGGGAAAAGGCAACATTTTAAAACACTATTTCGTGAAGGAAAAACAGTATCTAAACTGTATCTTAGTTGCAATTACGACATTATACAGTTGGAGCGCCGGTGCTGTAATCGCGTAGCGAAGTTAACCGAAGGTCTGACTTGCGTAACTACAGTTATTTAGTTCCTGGAGAACTCGTTAGCGATTTCAACCGCTAGTCGAATTAGCGCTTCGAAAAATTTCAAGTGAGAGAAGTAGCTTCTTGTTTAACTTCTCTAAGGATTAGTTTGGCACACGAGAAAAGTGAAATCAATTCTGCAAATTGTGAAATATTTCTTCACGCTCGATTTTCAAGCATATTCGTACATGACAGGGCGCACGTTTTCCAGCTATGTAATTGACGCTTTTCAGCATTCGCATTTTCCATGCTCGATACATGACGAACCGTTGCAGTGGCAACAAATATTTTCGGTTTACCTATAAATCAACGAGAAATCTAGATTCGTGTTTGCTCGAGAAAGACTGCCTCGATATATTGCCGATTAAACAATCGACGCGGCGAAATGAAAATCGGCTTGTTGTGTAGGTCGCAATGTTTGCTTCGTTATTCGCAACCAATTCCTTCGAAAAACAATCCGCATCGTCTTTTTTTTTTTTGCAAACTTACTGCTGCATAATGAATGCCGACTGCTGCCATGGCCAGATAAACTTCTCGGTTGCACATCTGTACGCGTATTTAAGTGAGCCAGATTTAGCGAAAGGCGAACGCCGCGAAAAATTTAACGGCAGAACTGTCTCGAATGTCGCGATATTTGCATATTTTTATCGAATCGAGATGCCAAAGTAACGATCGTTTAACAACTGCGCACTTTTGCTGCCAGCGGGGTAGAATGTAACGCAATAAAAACGGAGACAGCGCAATAATATACATTACAGTCGGCAATAGAAGGAGGCATAAAGAATGTCTTACGTTCTCTCGGAGAATTCTCGGAAATATTGCGATGCTCGCTTTTTACCAATAACAGTGCCTCGAATATTACAGTATCGCGCATATCCGCATATTGCGCGCAATAATGTGTCTGTATATTGATTCGACGAGAAATATCTCGATTTTTCGGGTAAGCGATATTGTCAGGAATCGCCGAATGGACATGCTTTGTTTCTGCTTTATGCAATCTGCGCAATTCAAATAAAAGCGCCGACATTTATTGAAATTATGCATTAACTCTTTATAAAATCTTTATTTACCAATGCAATATTGCACAATTTGTGAGAAACTCTATTTACTTTTTTCTCGCATTTGTATACTTTTATTGAAATATTACAATATATCGTGATCAATATTAAATGATGAAGTAATAAAAATCAAATAAATGTTTAATAAATGTAATATGACTTTATATAATCTGCGTATTTACAGCTGTCTACGTACAGACGTTTAAAATTAATTGCATTTAACCAAGTTATATAAATACGATACGATTCTCTGTCCCTTTTTAGCACTTTCTTACGAATGGCCAATTCCTAAATCACATTTTAATAAATCCGTGTCAATATTCAACGTAGACACATTAATGACTCTGGATTATCATATGATTAATATGCTGTGGACGAACGGGGGAGATACCGGGAATAATTAAATCCTTCAAATATATCGAGGATAACTTGTTGTGGATACGACGTCATATGAAGGTTCCTATTGTGAAAATACTATCGACTGGAAACACGAAGTGCTGCCGGGCCGACGACGTCTTTTTATGTAGGATTATGGACGTCTAATGTTGGCGCGGGCCACGAAATTCATTATGTCTTGTAAGCACGAACCGCTCGTATCTCAAAGAATATGCACGCGCGTGTCTCGCCTGCAAATTGAATTTACAACTTCAAATCGAGCGTCGTCGTACTGCACATCGCGTGTTAAACTGTGCGTATAATATTGATATTAAATATTAGCGCGTTTTTATTCGCCGAGCAGTGTTCGTGGATATATATGGCTGTACTTTGCCGCATAGACACACGTGCGTGCTTCGAAATCTGCTGAAATCGCCGGATCGATACCGATATAATTTGCGCGAAATGTATATTTGGCGTAGATGCGTCGCGCAGATATACCGCGTTTTATATTTCTCGAGAGTAATTTTATAATTCCGTATTATCCGAAATGTTGAGACGGACATCTAAACAGTCCATACACTTTCAGTATGCCTATAGTCTATTATTTTAACTAATAGATAAGAATATTATAAATTACGTTGAGAAGAAAGTTATGTAAAATTTTTCTAGTTTACATTTTTAAACTACCGAGAGAGAGAGAGAGAGAGAGAGAGAGAGAGA